ATCCTGATTTGGAGGATGAGAGCCCTTTGAGAGAGAAAGAGCACAAACGGAGGAGGGGCAGAGAGAGAAAGGAGGACACAGAATCTGAAGCAGGCTCCAGGCTCTGAGCTGTCAGCACAGAGCCTGATGTGGGGCTCGAACCCACGAGATGTGAAATCATGACCTGAGCTGAGGTCGGCTGCTTAACTGACTGAGTCAGCCAGGCTGCCTGAAAGCAATTTTTTTTTTGAGGAACAAATTTTTAAGCCCAAACATAGTAGCACTGAACTGAGGTTTAGTCAGTTTAGAATCTGTAATTATTAGATACAGGATGAGCAGAAATTGTAGTTGCCTTTTTAGTGACCAAAAAACAAAACAAAACAAAACCTTGAAACAATTTTGTGGCATAAGTCAAATTTTAGGGGGGAAAACTTGAAAAAAAAAACCAAAATCTATTTTCAATTTTACATTAAAAAACCAATAAATGTTAGAGAAACCAAGCTCATCGTTGCTTAGACTGAGACCTAGCTATTGCGAGCACAAAATACCATTTCAGTTCATTTAATATACAAATCAGAACGTCTGACCAGTCTGGTTTCAGTTGTTACTATTTTCAATATGGCAAGCAGTATTGCCTTTCTGTAAATTAGGCTCCACATGCTACTTTGCAGTAAGTTTGAAGGGCTTCCTTCTAGTTTGTGCAACTTAATGTTTTACTTTACTATCTCCTTAATCTTTCCCTGTCTTTTTTTAAAAACAATTTTTCTAGGAATTCCCATATTCCCTATTTCTACCCCAAGTCCGGAAGATTCAGTAGCTGGAGATATGAAAGGCAAGTACCTTCTCTTTTGCTTTAACTTCAATGGAAATGTTATGCTCCAAATTATTTTTCTACTTCCTGTGCCCACTAACTACTGTGCCCAAGCTCTAATGGTCCTTACGGGAGCATGGTGGGTGCCTTGTGGGGCTGTCCTATTTCAGTTCCTCACCACCCATCATTCTCTGTTTTAGTCTGTCTTTTGCGTGATGCTACCTGATTAAGAAAACTAAACAGAGCTTGAAATGTAGATCACTTGCTTGCCCAAAACTTCCGGTGGCGGTCCATTGCCTACTGTCTTAGTTGGGTTCCACGTGCAGAGACGCCGAGAAAAGATTGCAGCACAAGCAAATGATTCGGGATATGATCCCAGGAGACATCAGTAAGAGGGTGAGTCAGGGAGTGAAGGGAGCCGTTAGCAAGCAAGGTCCGCCGGTACCACCTGGAGCTCCATTCCCCTAGGCGACTCTAGGCGATAGCACAGAACTTGCTCAGCATTATCCCAGCTGAAGGGATACCTTCAGTGACTTGCCATCAATGGAAGGTTGCTTTGGGGGCATTGACTCTGGTACTTCTGGCTTGGTATGCTGGAAGGCCAAGGGGCTCCTTCAGCCAGAGGGGGTACCCCTGGGCAGAGAGTGGCAGAGGTGTGCAGGAAGCAGCCTTTGGGGTGGAGAGGTGAGTGCCGAGAGGGTGTGGGTGCTGCACCTACATAATCACTCATTCCGCAAGTATTTTATGATCACCTATTATGTGTTCAGCACATTGCGTGTGCTGGAAACTTATCAGTGAAGAGAATAGAGAAAGATTCCCAGCTCTCCTATAGCTTATATTCCAGTGGAGGGACTCCTACAATAACAAAAATAATATATAAGCCACTGAATAAATAAAATCTCTCTGTGTTAGAGTATCATATGCAAGGTTGTGTGCTGCACAAAGGTGCTGTTTTTAAGGCGGGGGGGGGGG